ATGTAGCTGATTATAATTTTTATTGCACTGGAATAAATAAAATAATACGCACATTGCTCGAATACATCGACGTCGCATTACGCGCGACAGTGTCTTTAATACTTCGTCTAGCGCTAGTACAATTAAATAAATAAATAAATAAATAACTTATATAGAAAAAGTCTAACGATATACAATTGCATCGGTTACAGTGAAATTTTCACATCAATATCCTAAAACGACGCAAACACGACTTCGAAATTCGTGTGATTAATTTTAACAATTCGTCGATCGTTAATACCAATCACTCCTGTCATCGTAGTTCACGCGTCTGATAAAATTTCCCTCACAACAATTCAATATGATCTGTGAACTATCTGTACAATACAATAAATAAAACGCATCACATGTTAAATTAAATAATACAAATTGCCATAGATTCCTGGGGACAATCCACTCACTCCGATTTTTAATAAATTAATTCGCTGGGTGAAGAACGCCAGCGATAAATCGATGAGAAAACTAATGGAAATGAATGTATAATAAAACTAACGAAATTCCTAGGCAACTGTTCCCAAAATTGTTAAGTAATTAAAAATTGGAATCCGCTGATGCACCTCGAAGTTCAAAGTCAAACTCTAAAATTGTTCCATCGGTAATACGGTACGTATTATCCGTCGTGAACATTTCACAGCCTCGACGTTTATCGTCCTTTGAACACTCGATAAGCGAACATCTTAAGGAACAGTAGCATTAAATAACGATCGCGATACGGAAACGTAGCGAATTGTTATCTAAATGATAAATTTTTCTAATACACAATATTCACAGTGGCTTAACGCTGTATTCTAACGAGACCCGACGGAGCTCCTGGGAATGAAACAATGTAAGTTTTAAAAATAAATACTAAAATAGATAATTAATCGATTGCCGTATGAATTCATTTTCAAAAGTTAACCAAAAATACGACAGTTTTTTATTTATGATTTTTAGTATTTGAATGTATTACGATAAATATATCCATAGAAAAATGTCAAATCAACCGTAATATGCAAAAAATAAGGCTTTAAAATCACGCAAATTATTATTCTGAGCTAATTGAGATTAACAATGTTTAATATAAAAAAAATTCCGAGAACATTCGGGATAAAGAGCCAAGCGGTTAATTATCAAGAAAAAAATTTTCACGACGATTTCCATATTTTAGAAATTTACGTCGTTTTCATTCTCGAGAGCTCGGGTTTTTGATGAAGACATGGGTTTTCTTCATCAATTCAAAATTGACTAACCGCAAACACGTTCACTGCGATATGTTTCTTCGAATTCTGAGGATTTCCATTTTTAAAAAGCTGATCGTGCGATAAATAAATGAAACGTCAGACAAAGGTTAGACTCGATATTTCCTTTCAAAATCGTAATCAACACTTTTGACGATAATCATTGGACTTCGGAACTTTCGATGCAAACTCGCATCATTGTACGATTTCCAAAATCAATTTATCGTCTGAAGTATTATTTTCTTCAAACATATACGATGAAATTGAATTAAAGTTTAATTATTTTGCATTTTGTAAGTTTCGGGAGACTCATATATGTTGCAAATATATAAAGATTCGAGTTCTACTAATTATTACAATTTCGTAATTAAGTATCGTTGAATTATTGTTTTAAATAACTATTCAGTGTTTCATATGTTTTCGATGTTGAAGTGATTCTATACATTCCATCAACATTTTGTGTTTGCAGTGATTGGGTCGATAAATCGCAAAAATTTCTAAAATTAACAGTCAATAAATACTATTCGAATATCTGTTTAACATTGTTAAGCCACTGTCAGTGCAGTTAACTAAACCGAGAAAATCGAGATAGAGAAACGTCGCGGATCGAGATCGATCAAGAGATTCCGACGAAAGGTCAGTGATCCTCAAGTACGGCTCGCCGATCGTTACGCCATTGTAATTCGCTGCTATTTAAACAGAGGTTCGAACGAAACTAAACGAAACAGTCTCGAAGAACACGCACAATCGCTCAAAAATATTCAATCGATTATAATATTCATTACGTTAACAAAATTAAGAACCGGATAATTTAATGTATGCAAAAAGTCTTTGAATTTCATTCATTAAAACATTTCAGCTCATTATGCAGATATTCGTTTACATATTTAAAACATTCCAGCTCAATATGTAGATTTTGGTTTACAATATTTAAAACAAAGGCAATAAAATATTTTTGAGCGTCAGTGAATGTTGTTTATATCGATCCACGTGTAAACGAAACGAATACGAATTCGCTATATATACCGGCTCGCACCGAAATTTTCCTACTAAAATCGCGATTAACCGATTCTAATCAATCGAGAAGTCAATAAATAATAAATATAAATAAACTAAATAAATTACTAGAGAGAATAATGTACACAGGAACGAATAGAAACGAACAAGACATGGCGGTTTCGAATCATTTGAAAAAGAACACATCTCCGTTTTCATATTTTTTCCCCTTCGAACAGCCCTCCGCGGTTTTGGCGGCCATAACCGCTGGTTCCATCCTTCTGCCCTTGAATCGGCTGCGATTTCCCATTCCCACTCCTTTGGTTAGTCACTCAAATATTCCTAATTAGTGTGAGTTCGTTTAAAAGTTTAAGCTCGGACGGAGGACGGTCCGTAATACTGTTTTCAGGCGGCTTAGGGTCGAGAGGAATCGTGTTTTTTCTTTGTTTGTAAGCGTTTAGCACTCTCGACTGATGTCTTCGTTCTCGCCCTACACGCACCGGCGCGACAGGTCGCACCGCAGAATTAAATGTATTGGTACTCGTTGTCATTGCCTCGCCAGGACTCCTTGATCTTCTGTAATTACAAGAAATAGATGTTGTTGGTTAAAATGGACTTTTCGTTTCATCATTACTAGGCTGTGAATTACGTAAATGGTTTTTCCTAACAAACGTTATAGGAAGCACTACATTGTAGATATTTTGTATATTTTTTCGTGTCGTGTGTATATTGTACAATTTTGCACTTCCAAATTTGTTATAAGTGCATAAAACTCCGTAGTTTAATTATTATCGACAGATTCGATAGATAGTTCGATAGATAAGGAAGTCAAAAGTTCATAGCGTATTTTTCTTCAACACATTCATGGACTTGAATGTATTACTTACACTTTGACAAACTTGATTCAAACTTTTAAAAAGAATAATAGAATACCATGTGTTGAATACTGAACGGTGTTGAATCGCATCAGAATATAATTTTTGCCATATTTATCTGTGCGTTAATTTAATTTTGCAATAGGTACTTATATATTATAGTTGCTTAGATATTGGTAGTTAGTATTAAAGTACTTAGTACCTAGTTAAATATAAATAAAATTTCATGCAATCATTGTTTTCATAAATTGATATTTAAAATTGTGAATTCGTATGAACATCCGTAGTCTAACTAAATGTTTTCCCATTTTTAAAAATTATAAATATACAAATAGAATTTTGACCATATTCGTATATTTTATATAACACTAACTGCCTCTCAGTTAATTGATTAAATGAAATTTGTTAAAATTCTTTATAGGAAGCACAAGACGACACAAAAATCAATGTTAACTAATAAAAAATATTTTCTAATCTAACAACAAATTGTATTATTTTAAACCTAAAGGCTCTGCATGATCTACTGAAACTTAATTCTACTAGAAAGTATAGTTTCCTTGTATCGTGTACGACATTAAAAATAAAAATGCGTGAACTCTGCGTGTTTTGCGTAAACCGAAGTAACAGTTTCAGTTTCTGACGTAGTACTGCGCTAAATCGTATGCAAATTGGAAACCGGTAGAAATCAGCAGTGAGTGGCGACGAATTAATTGCGCTGTAAAATGTTGCATGTTTCAAGCAAGTTACTGCGATCAGCGCAGAGTTCGCAAAAAGGGGCAGAGGCGCGTACAACTATTTCCCGCCTAACATAAGGCTCTTCCTCAGCCAATTAGCGCGATGATTGCAATTTATTCAGAGTCGGGTCGACTCGTGCGACGCTTATCAGTAAAAACTCGGTACACATATGTTACGAGAACTGTTCAGGATCGCGGTGACGGGATTTACTGATGACTCGAATCACGATCATTCTTACGTAATTATTCTGCAACAAGGATTTCACTATTCGATGGATTGTTTCGTCAAGATTATTCAGTTTCCAGAGCATGTTTCGTTTTCGTACCATCTAATTACAATGAAAATTAACCCTTTGCGCTTCTATATTGAGGTAGACTAAGTATTCTAGTTTATTTTACTTTTTTTTCATTCTTCACTGTAATTATTGCTACAATTATTAATAACTTTGCAGCTTCTTAAATGTTTTCGAATGAATTAATAAAGTGTCATATCAAAATATGCTTCAGTTGAGTAACATCGATACAAGTTCCAAAATAAACAGCTAAGAATATTAGAACTGCGAAATCTTCTTCTTCGGGTCCTTTTTTTATCCATTCACATTTCCATTTTCTTATGGCCATTCTCTTTGTTCACTTTTTGTCCATTTAGTCACGTTCTCATTTTGTCAAAGATACTTTCAAATTTGTGAATAATATAAGAAACTCATTATTAGACTATGTGCTCCTATTTTTTCAATACCATTTCGAATTTGTAGATGAACTTAAGACCGTAGCAAAGGCTAGATTAATTGTATGGCATTTTTGACTCCCCTATCGATTCGTACTATTCGCACAAATTTATAGTAACAATATTTCAAAAGAAAGATTATTGGCAACTTACCAGTGGTAACGGGAGAATCTTTTCGTCGAGCATGTCCGGATTGTTCGCGACAATTCGCATGATGCGTTGCAGCGTCTCGAGTCTGTTGTTCGTGGCTGATCTTCGTCTACGACCTCTGCAACAATGTCCAAAAGCAAACGGGACCATTAGATGGGAACGGAGAGAAAAATAAAAATAAAAACTAAAAACTGAAATCATGGAAGAATTTATCGACCGTTTCTAAACGGGACATAGGCCAGCAGTTAGCAAAAAGCGGCGAGATTTAAAGATTGCGAGTACAACTTTGCACTATGTATCGTCCCGTGAAATTGAATATTTATGCGAATAAATCAACTTTTTTCTGATCGTTCTTTCCTTCGTATTTTTCCTTTCTTTTACGTGACCACGCATGTCGCATGTGTCTGAGTGTTGTCATGTCTGAGTTAATCACCATTTGATCACTGATTTTAGAGAATTGCGACAAGTATCATGAGTTGCAATAAATCATACGGTTTAACGTATTTGCTGCATTGATCGTTGAATCGCGCGTGTTCACGCAGATATAGAACATAGGAAAAAATGTTTGTGCACTGTCAGAATTTGATGTTGAGTGACGATAATATTTTTAATGCATCAACAAAGGTTGAAATCGATTAATCTGGCAACAATAGTTTTCAAGTAAATGTCTCGTTAGTTACAAGGTTGGCAGTTGGTAGAAGAAATTCGTTACCTATGAACATCTTTTTCTCATTGCATAAATTTACATAGAGAAATGAAGAAGATAGTAAAGAAACGTTTATAAAGATTACATGTATATAAAATCTGGACAATTCATCACCTGTTGCTTTTATTAAATACCTGGGTAATATCAAAAATTTATGAATTCAAGTATTTAGTTTTATAGAATTTTTATTTATGCAAAAATAAATTAATTTAGAGGAAGGATATAATTTATTGAGATACTCAATTGATATTGAAAGTTAATTTGATCTAACTAATAATAATTAAATACTATTCAACTTAATTAAAAGCTGGAAAAAGGTTTCCTAAAAGATGCTTTGTTGCATTCTAAAACAATGATTTCGGTGCACAATGTTCTCATCGATCTAATACTGCCTTACTTATAAATCTACAAACAGTTAATTTGTCAATGAAATGTAATGTTATTTTTATTTCATGTTTTATCTAAGCGGCGTCTTGCTAGAGAAAAAACATTTGCGTTTTACTGTAATTGTTAGAAAACACCCAACAAAAATGTTCAACTGCATGACTGTCTGGAAACAAATCTTGATGAATGATTCGATGCTAATTATTCGACTCGTGCCTTATCGTCGGGAATGTAAATTGCCGTTCAAGTTGTGCAAGATACGATTCCGTTAGCATGAAATTAGTCGTGGTGGGAATGAACGATGTCACAACATGACCTGTGAGTTAACTCTCCGCCGTATTAGTGACATGCTTAATTTCTCTAACAGAGACAAGAGTAGAATAGCTGCTTATTTAATAATAATAGCTAACTACACAATAACAACATTTTTTCCTTGGAACGAAGAAAAACATTTTTCTAAAAGCAAGTTGATTTGTAAGATAATATTTTCGCAATATTTTCACATTGCAACGCATATCAATATACTAAACATGCTCAGAGAAACGTATGATTAAGATTTAGTTTTAACGTCCCCTGATGTAATTTCTTTAAAAAGGGATTACATGTGAGATTCATGAACTGAATGAAAATAAAGTACGTTTTTTCAAAACGAGGAAAAATGTTAGAAGAGAACACGATCAACTATATACGAAATTTTAGAGCAACAATAACGTGTCCAGAATCAAATTTCAATTGTACTGACGTTAAAGATTATTCGATTTCAATGCAATTGAAAATGCCATTAGTTTCCTGGCACGACTAATGATCATTCTTGTCATGAATTCTCCTAGTAAATTATTTTACGCGGGGCAGGATAATTCAGAGGATCGCCGCGTACAACTGTATTGGCTTATATCGTACCGGACAATACCGGGAGCAAATCGAATTTGCATACCATTCCGTTTTTGTCCGTGAAATGTATTTATACTTCTAAAGTATCATTTGCAAATAAATCGTCTCTCGCTGCCCTATTAACCTATTATACTCGCAAACCTTGACATTGGAAATATTTGTAATTCTTTAATGAAACATCTGTAACACTTTGTACAAAATAAATAAAAAAACGTAGCTATATCGTTACAATCTTTCGTGTACTAAAAATATTATGCAAAACTTAACGTTGACTGTCAAATTTTAGAATTTTCATGCGAGAAATAAATGACGACTGGCGGCCACCTCTCGAGTGCAAAGAATTAATCTCTTTCAAAACGAATATTCTCTTATTATTTATTTCATATTTATATTTCATATTATTTTAATTTTTCGTCAATATAGCGTCACTATATGTACACTTATCATAAAAAGACACTTCTTGTTTTGAAAATAAAACATCTTTTGTCTGTGTTAAAGTGCTATATAATCTAAACATATAGAAATTACAGCAGCAATTAAAATGATTAAAGTTCAGTCTTTGTCCAGTACCACACTAAAATAATAAGAGTTTTTACATTCGTGGAAAATCGAGTGTTCTCATAAAACGGGAAAAGGCGATCATTTTTTGTTAAACACGTGGACCATTTTCTCAAGCAAAGAAAATTCTGGTATAAAAATGAAAACAGTGGAAACCTATGAAACTCCGACAATTCTAAAACTTCAGAATTTATAAATGAAACGCGTTATGACTCGTCGAGGAAAGTCCATAAATTACAATGGATTTGTGTTTTGATCGATATCCCTACCACATATTTATTACTATATAAGTAGGATAATTGATAAAAAATATATAATAACCTGACTAGATAATAGTGTAAAGTAAGAATTATATACCACCAAATAATTGATAATTCTTTCTATCTATCTTTTCAAAGTTCTCCTAACATTCAACGTGTTAAACTCAATCTTTTGCAGACATATTGCACCCAACACACTTTCCTCGAAACCGAACATCTCGGAAGAGAACTCTCCGTTTATTTTCAATCCATACACTGTACGCCAAAAGAAATCGTTTCTTATAACCCCCATCGTAGCTGCAGCTGCTAAAAGCTTGCCGTTGCATTGTGGGAACACGAGAATAAAATTACACAAAATTTTCCCTTGGAAAGCAAGGTAAAACCCGCCGCAGAGTCCCTCAAGATCTATTGAGATCGCGTAACCTCGTTCTCTCGTGAAATCGCGAACGAATAGGGGACGAAATTACGAACGAGCGCACTGGGAGCTGGGAAATCGTAGAATTTCGAATTAGAGGCTTTCGCGAATCGGCGATTTTCGAACAGAGCTGCTTTGGCTTTAAACAAATTTTCACGGGACGCAAAGAGTAACGCGTCTGAATGGGAATTTATTCGCATGGCATACCGTAGGAGGGAAACGGTAACTCGGTTAGGAGATCCATTACGAACGCTGCGTTTCCTATAGCGCCGCGCAACTCTTACCACCATCTTTCTTCCCCTACGGGCCGCCCAGTCACGATTATATTATTCAGTCTGCGTCGTTGCGTACACACGCGAATACTTATTTTCACCACCCGCCAACTGAGTGCACTTACATACATATAAATATACATCCCGTGTATTAACCCAGATGCACCTGGGCGGATTTTCTTTTGAAATTGAAATGAAAAGAGGGCGATTCGGGATATTATATTTTGGTTTGGTAATTTTTGGCTCTTTGTGAACGAGGATTTTTTGAAGCTATGGAAACCTTTTTCATGGGAAGCTGAGTTGTACGCGGAGGTCTTGAATTCAATTGTTTAACACTAGGTTTACACACGTTTATTGTACGGTTTATTCTATTGTTCCTAGAAAAATGGATGTTCGTTAGTTTGGATCTTGGAAAGATACATATTCACGTAATTGTGTTAATCAAGACCGACATAAACATTTACCAACCAGTGTTTATAAAATTTAATATATGTCAAACTAATGCGTTCTGTAAACCTAGTGTTTAATAATATAATCGTTTGTTTGTAACTTTCGATTCTAGTCGTTAATATGACCTATTCAAAGGGGTAATGTGGAAATGTGTAACTTGAGACATTTCAAACGTATGACTAAATCTTGATTGATTTAATTGATCTTGAAAATAAATTTTGATTGTAAAACATCTTCCTCGAAAAGAAACTATTTAGAATAATATTTTGTTCTTTTTAGTAAAGAGTACTGCGTATATCAGAGGAAAAAATAATTTTACTGTCGTATTATATAGTAGCAATTTAATTTACTATTTTTTGTATATAAATGGTACAATGCAACGATAAAAACAGATTTTATAAAAAATTGTTAAACAATCGATAACCAAAACGCACAGAATATTAAAACTTAGTGTGAGAAACGAGTTTCCAAAGTTCATAAGTATAACATTTTATACGTAACTAGACGTCGGCCACTGACCATACACATACGGAAGTTCTTCGTTTCCGATAACCCTTTGCCTGATAACACGGAATCATAATTTTTCCGCGGTGTATTATCCTTATCATTATTTTTTGTCAAAGAAAAACGACGGTATTCTCGCAGCAATGCATACACGTGTTACCAAATTAATCGACTCGTTCGCGTTTTACAGGCTGCGAACTAACACGTTTTATGTAATATTATATTCTACAAACTGTAATATTGAATATTAAACTTTATAATTTGGCAGCATCAAGCAGAGCGTTGACTAAGAGAAGCATTAGTGACTAAGCAAAATATTAACCCAGCAGCAAATTAATAATATTTCCAACATGTACGAGTAAATGAAAATGAAATATTAGACCAAATATACTCGACGGGAAATTAACCGGTCTAATATAATACGATAGGGGAGTTCGAGGTTTACCATTGTCCCAGGACATCTGGTAAGGTATCTTCTGGTTTAGTAGGCCGTTCATTCTCATTTCGTTGCACGATACGTGACCGTCCACCCCTTTTTTCGTCCCGTTAACTCCCACCCTTCTCGTTTAACCCCCGACCTGGATCAGGCTTGTCATGCAGCCGACAAGAGAATGTACAGGGGGAAGCAACAAGTTGAATTTTAATGTCCCGTCTATTTCGTCCCGTACGTGCACTACATTTGCTCCGGATCTTCTCTTTTCATTTTCCTTTAATCTTTAGAGGACCGACGAAGACCTTCTTAGGGGTCTGCACAAATCTTTGAACTCTACGCAAAATGTAGGTTGTGTATGTGCATAAATATTTGGAGAAAATAAACCACTGTTTCTATGAAAGTATGTTGGACATATAAAGGCTGATCCCAGTAGAAGTGGATCCATGAGTGATTTGGGTAACAATATACAGAGGCGGAAAATATTTTTTATAGTAACTTGCCTTGATAATTATTTTCTTAATAACAATTTGATGTGCACGATATTTAATCTGGACAATAAAATTGCAATAATAAGAATATTATTGTTCAGGATAATAATTTATCATTCAATATTAATACAAGGGAGGCGAGAATTTTATAATGAAGAAGCATTTCAATAATCTGTGCTGATTTGCATAAACAAGTTGAAATAAATAATTAAAAAAGAAACGTTTGTCAGCTGGTCGCGATTACTTAGCCACGTCTGCGCCGCGTGAAATGACTAATACTCGCAGCGCGAGTGGCCCCGCGCGAATTTAAAATGATCTCACGCGGAAATCCACAACAGGATCGATGAAATCAAAAAAAGCTCGTGTGCTGTCCGAAATAAACGGCGCGTCGGCCTGTTTTATGTGACCGGAATCGCGTAGGCCACGAGATTCCTGAACCCAGAATCAGAACGTTGCACTATCAGAATAACATTTATTTTTTGCCCCTTTTTTCTTCCTTTTCTTCTTAAAAATAGAAATTTATTCTCGTCGCGGCGTTCCATGATCATGCAATGGATCCATGCTCGTCTTTTTTTTTGTTTTTTGAACCATGAATTTCGCAGTTCGTTCCTTTCGAGGAAAATAATAAATATCTCTGTGTAGTGTAACTTCGTCTTCCGAACAAATCGCACGGCTCAAAATGACTTATAGGACTATTACGCGCCACATAGACAGATATACTTTCCCCTTTAAATAGCTGTCATGTCTGATTCACTTTGATTCACGTAAGCAATCAATAATTATAGTAGAAAATTTACGTTTCTCCAAGAAAATATACAAAGAGTTGTTAAAGTATAATTAAAATTTGCGAATATTCTAGTAAAGGCTAATCAGCAGAAATTATAATTGAAAGTAATTTCTTTAATATAAGAGATCTACCGTACTCCAGAAAGGTAAAAATTTCGTTAAAATTTGTTAAACAGTTTCTGTATTACGAGTTTTAGGAGATCAAGAATATTATTTATGAATTAGTTTTGTATACAAATATTTTATCTTGAACTTTATAAGGTCATATAGTCAAACGTTTCAATATATGTATGAAATTCTGCATATCGTTGTGCAATTAATGAAGTATAAGGTTCCGTATAAAAATCAGTTTGATCGCAGTGAACTTGTACATCGATCAATCATTTCTTTTTCGTGGGACGTTATCGTTCGCTAATTTAGAGAGATACGAGCATATTTGCACTACACATGTACGGAACTTGACGAGTTCCCACGGTCAACAAGTGCTCCAGAGCGCGATAAGCCATCAACGTTTGACAATAACTTTGAAATGACTATCGCAATTTTACACCGGTCAAATTGATAAAATTGAAATTATCACCCTCCATTACAGGGATGAAATGTGATAAGAGGGGTATATTTATTCAAGATAAAATAACAAAAAAGCAAAAGGTTTGCCTACATTTAATTAGAAACATTTGAAATCTTAATCGTGTTATCTGATTTTGAAAATCTTATTATCTTAATAATTTATATTAAATTTGATTTTTATAATGAATTATTTAATTTCATAGCAACAGCATATGATAATATTAATATTATTTATTTAACTATTCTTCGTCAAAGCAAAAGACATGTTTTACAGTACATTTAATTTTAGTTTTATGTTTACGTTTACTAATAATATGTGCGAATAACATTTCTCTTAATGTCTTCGGAATAATTTTCATCCTCCTTCAAATCCTGTTTACTTAAACTGTACGAAGAGTAAGTGACCAGAAACTACAATCATATCTAAGAAATTTATCCTTGAAGAGCCTCATAACGAGCAAAGTAACAGTTGCCTAAAAAAACAACGTAAAGCCTAATCGCTGCTTAAAAATACCTAATCTTTGAGTACATCATTCTACTCTATAAAATAAAGCAGAAAATAACTTCAAATACGAATGAACATAATTATTAGAAAGGTATATATATTATAACATTATATATTTTTATTAATAAAAAGTATTGTATAAATAATACATATATATATATATACACATATGAATGTATCAATAAAAATATCAAATATATAAGATACTTTTTATTAATAAAAATATATAATATTATATTCTGTTGTAACAATAACAATACTTTTATTAGTTGTTGAGTAGAACATTTGAAAAAATCTGGGAAAATGCAACAAAATATTATAAAACGTACAATAATGTGCAGTGGTTTAAAGTGTTAAAAATATAAGCTGAAAGAAGAAAAATATTTCTTATCGTATTGTCCTGAAGACGGAGTTCAGACGTTGATAGGAAAAACCCAGCACAGAACGTGTTAGATAAAAGAAATTCACAATTCCTATTAAGAAAGAAACCTGCCGGTGCTCAACACACCAAGAATAAACTCACAGATGGAAGATTAAAAAAAATGAAATATTCCAAATTCTTCGGAGGTTTCGATAATGATCGGTCTACGTCATTATTACGTCCGTCACGTTCGACGAAATTTTTCGATCGCGTGGCACGATAAAAGTGTAACGTGACCATTTATCTGGTTACTTTGCAGCAGCAAGAGGAATTGGGGACAATTCGTATCGATAACAGTAAACCGTCGTTGCGATACGGGCTGACCTTTATTAAATTACATAATTGGTTACTCACATTTTATCTGGATCCAGAACTCCGAATGCAACCGGGACCGTCACCACTTTCCCCCGAACGTTTTCCAACCCCAGTAGCGTTTCTATTTCGGCGAGCCTCTGATCGGAAACTCGTCTCTGCCTGCTGTAAATATAAAAAGAACAAAATCGTGTTATCATTGTAAAATAATATCTACCTGTCCAACGTCGGTCGCCTGTTTTTAAAAGAAATATTTTTTGCTTAGAAATTTACTCGTATTATTGAATGAGAAACGGGGATGGTTCAAGTTTCCGTTTTAGGCTACTCTTTCTTTATGTATCATGTAAAATTGATTAAAAATGGAATTTTAGTGAAGAAATTATTTGAAATTATGGAATGTTGGATTAATGATAAATATAGATTATTAACAAATTGTTAGTACTTCGAAATGTTTTTGACACTGTTAAATGAGTTAGAGAAATCAGAAAATATTTTAATATCGATATGGTCTTTTCTAATATTCACTCTAATATTATTTTTTCTCGAAATCATTAAAGGATTTATTCAACAATTTAATACGTATTTTACGAGTTCACTGACTATGCTGAAATTTGAGTAAAAATACTATAATACTTCGGAATCGAAACGCGGGAGAGCTTCTTATCTGTGACGCTCATTTATATTTAGAGGACAAGTATTTATAATTAACTCAAACCACTGAAGGAATTGATATCAGACATTTCGGTCGAGCGTGATGAATTCCGGTGTTAACCAATCGAATCATTTAATTGGATTTCCAGAGAAGTCTTTGTATTGTCGTTTTATGCTAACAAATTCAGATAAATGAAAATGCGATTAATTACTCTCAATCAGTACTGTATGTAGATGTTAGTCACGAATATAACGATCTTATAAGCAGTTGACGTAAGGATGAATGAAACGTGTCGTAATGAATACGTAACAATGACTTGCAACGTCACAGTATGTACTTAATGACATCAGTCACTAAACTTTCACGAGCAAAGCGTGCGCGCGAAACCTCAAGATTTCGCCGGCACTGAAAGTCATTCCTCTGAGATCACCACCTAGTTATTGTTACTTTTTGAGTTTTCAAAGCATCCCGAAATTCGATGCTGAATCAATATAAACGATTACTATTTGATTATTGCATTAACCACCTATAAGCAATACAATTGTCTATTTGGAATTTAAAGAACTCGCTTTCTTGTTATTTTGTGTGTCAGTTTTATCATCATCGAATTTTTTTCTTTCATTTTTATGTACAAACCTTGATTCTACATAGAATAAACTGAAATAAGTTTGAATGAAAATAAATGCAATTTATTATTGCCTGCTGGTTTAATACTTTTGTAGTAAACGTAATTTTATTTTCTTCATTAGAACACAGGAACAAATAATTGATATTCTAAATAATTACAATCATTTAACATTAGATAATTATCTGATTATAAAGGACTGTCACCTTCTAAAACAGTAGCATAATTATTTTCTTTTACAGTTGTATTGAATGATCCCAACTAAAATCTTTCACCAATTTTCAAAACTTTACTGTTGCGACAGAGAATTTTGTCAATTAATAGTCTTGATATTAAGAAAAGTACAAAAAGATCGTTATTTATTCATGCGTTTCTACTTTTTCAGTGATACTTCCATATTTCAATAAACCCATCATTACGGCAGGATTAAAAATCTATCATTCTTACTGAAGCACCTTATAAATGTGCCCTTTTCCATAGAATCCTTAAATCCTCAGATAGGAATACGCGGGATCCAAGCCACAATAAACGTCGTGATAACGTTTTACGCGGAATCTAGAATTTCATAAGGATAGTGAAAAAATACGACAAGGGTGGGGGGAGGGGGCGATAGTAGCGGTGATCATGCAGGTTGCACAGGATAATACCGTGTTTGTCGATCGCCGTTAATTTCGCATCCTTGATCGACAAGCTAATCTCCCGTATGTGTGCCGAAGCCCTCGTTATCACTGTCCCCAGTGTTATCAGTGTCCGTGGGAGACCCGGACAAGCAGAACATTAATCAGAATCATAGATAGACGAGATTTTTCGTGGATTACGCTAAGAAGATTAACAAAAATGCATGAAGTTTTGTGCGTCATCTGTTCAACAATTATCAACGAAAACTTCTATTCGACAGCGTCGCGGTTGTCATTTCTATTATTTCTTTTTTGCGACTTTTTATCCACCATTTGGAGGTATCTACATATTTCCTAATTAATGGTTAAATTTGTATTAATTATTCGATGTAGGAGTATATTTTTCTCCAACATTTACTTTTTTAACTTCAATACATCGATTGGAATTACGTTACAGTTAATAGGGAGATTTTGATTATTTCAATGTAAAATAATATTTTATCCGTAAGAAACACTTTTGGAGAACAATAGTACATTTCTTATTTGTAAGAGTTCTTTAAGTACCTTAGTGACTTTGGAACTTGTTTGAATTTAAATTTAAGAAAGGAATTCTTCTCTGAAGAACTTTCGGTAACTACTTGAGTCAATTCGATCGACATCGTAGATAAAGATTTGTTTGTTCAGTTGGAATATCACGGTTTACCGATTTCCTTTCTCAGCTTTTTCATTCCTTTATAATTAATTTTGCGTTTAACGAACGGTTGCATGTTCCCAGATCTGCTTGATGGGATTCGGAAGCATACGCGAGCGCAACATGACTGTTCGTAGCGACGTGTCGAAAATACATCGATAAAATATCGAATAGATAGCGATCGCGATTGGAACTTGAGATGTGACGTCGACGGTGGGATTTTTCCTTTAGTTTAGATCGAGAGGGACAAATTTCCATTGCATTGTACACTAATGCTCGAAAATTTGGACCATTCTTCGTTACTCGAATTTTTACATCGTTCTACTTTTAACAAAATAGATTATAATTATAATTGAACACTGTTTTCAAGTACTATAACCACGTGTTTTAAATAAGCTATTTATTCGTTTGAAAAAAGAATAGTTCATTAATTTTCTAATTGTAACATTCTTGTAATTGTTTTCCATTCAGAGAAGGTTCAGAGATATTGATAAAATTCATTATGTTATTATATATAGTTTATTGAACATTAATTCATCGAATATAACATTTTTTTCTTCGTATTTTATGCTCATCCGATATTCTCATTAATTATAATTTTTATCATCTTTTTTATATAATTTATTATCATTCTAATATAATATATATTGTAAACATAATATTAATATCGTACTATTTTTTAATTTAATTCAATATTGATTCATATCTACATTTATATGTGAACGGAGCATATCAGAAAAGTAAGATTGTGTGTCAACCGGAATGATTTTCACTAGTATTCGAGGAAAAGCAGAACTTCAAGTCACGCTTACGTGACTCTGGCTTCCCATGAGATATCATAGCAGTGCATATTTACTATACAAATACATAGGAACATAAATTCTTGGGCCGAGTTTTGGAGTTTATACAAGATCACCAAATCAATTTACAATACGCTATTGTTATATTCCATTCAATATATAATGAATAAAATTTGAATAAAATTTGTCATAATAATAAATAAGCAATATATTGTACAGACTCAGAGTATTTTATTTAATCTTGCTTTTTAAACTGTGAGTATTGCAAATAATCAAACACTTGTAAATGCCACTTTATTTAAACCTTCTTTTTTATCTACGTACAACTCATATATATTTATTATGTTATGTAACAGAATTTAAATTTGAAAAGTTAGAAATTGCTTCAATAAATTCCTGAGGATCCGTACGAAAATGCAACAAGTTGAGAGACACTTCCGCGAGTCGGGAAGTTACTCCCATCGTTATCGATATCTCAACTAGGAAACGCGGAGGTTCTTTCACCTGTCAGATTTTAAAAGTCATTCTCCATCATAAAATTGTTTTTTAACATCATTGAGCTATATTTCTTCTGCAATATTTTTAATTCACAAACAAGATTGATTATTTTAATGTCGTGTTAGTTTCGAAAGCTACGTTCGTCAGAGATTTTCTACTATAATAGCAAAAATAGTTAAGACAATACAATTGTTCAATAATAGTAACAATCTGTTAATAACAAATATTACATTTAGAATTATTAAAATTATTTACATATTATGAAATACTGCGAATTCGATTGATTTTTAATTGATCGTTTTCAATTATTCTACTGCTGAATTGAAAGTCATGCATAAGCAAGTCTCAAAATTCATAAATTTCTCGAACTTCCTTCATATCATAAAGACCTGTTTTATTTTAGTGGAAAATTTCCATTGAACACTAATCTACGCGCTCACGAAATGAAATTTTTCAACCTTCTAAATTTTTCATGTTTTCTCACATATTTTTCGTTAGAAACATATAAATAGTAAAACATTAATCAATTACAATATAAAAAATCTCTGAAACGATCTATTATTCTGCTCAAGAACTTTAGCCACGACGAAATCCTCCTTTTTCTGTAATCCTCCAACAGTTTCCCATTCACGTAGAACCTCCATCACTCTACCACATACTTTTTATCCAAAAAAATACAAAACTTCTATTGACACGGGTAAAGGCTATATATTACTGCGAAGCATCAATAATCGATCAAATCTTTTCCAACCAACATTCTCATATTCCAATCTCCCTACTGCAAACCCTTTCATTTCCCTCAATAATCTCTATTACCATAAAATCTATCTAAATCCCTTTCCCCATGGCAAAATACAAAAATCAATCAACAAAGTGTTCTCCCAGCCACAAGACACCCACGAATCTCCTAAAACCAATCCCCGACGCACGCGAGTGTACCCGCACCTTCCGCCCCCAAATCATGCAAACTAATTCCTTTAACCCAGGAAACTTGCCCGACTCTCTAACAATCTCTATTAAATCCCGAGAAAATTCAATTCGACTTTCTTCGACGAGTTCCGAACAATTTTCCATAGGCGTTGCTCACCTTAGGAAAGAGGGCGGCCTGGCGTGCGCCCGGTCCGGCATCAGTAGCACGGCGAGGGCACAAAACATCATTAGGCTGGCGAAGAAACTGACTGCCGTGTGGTTTCTCATGCTTCCTCCTTTTTCGATCTAATTCCGATCGACGCACCAATCAGTGAAAAATCCTTTCGGATCAATCGGAACCACGTGAATGTCTCTTGGTACCCAGGAAACTGGATCCCCTAACTTTAGCACTGAACGGTAGCACACTAGGGTATCGGCACTTATTAACTGCGCGGACTTAGGCGGCGGTTCGCGGTGTCTTTTGAACGAATGTTAATTGATTGATCGATTGAACTGTGTGATCAATGGATCGCGTGTTAATTCGTATCCCCGTGTGGTCTCTGGCCCTAACCTTGTCGCTTTTGTCTCTTGGTGAACTGTAGCGTACCGTCGTCCGCTTCGAGCATATATACTCGAAGGAGAGTGCCGCCTCCGCCTCCCCACTCGGCCCCGTGGCCCATGCCCCACTCGGCCGGGATCCTCCCTCACTTTTTATCTCGTTCCTAGACTTCGACCCTTTTCCCTGTATATCCACCTTTCTCTCGCACGCCGCCGGTGAATCAGGCGGTGCCGGCAATTAACACGCTCGCCTCCGCTCGCGCCTAACGCCGATTCCGCGGGTTTTTCCTGGGAGACCTTTTTTCTTTTCACCTGTTTCTCTTTTCGTAGAACCACGTGGCTGGCCACCGTGTTTTTTCTCGAGAAGTAATGAAAATGACGGAACTGTCAGGCTTTCTGAGTAATGATTGCTTCTTGGTGATATTTTCTGGCGGGGAGTGTTAATCTTTTGCACTCGAAAGTTATTTTTGCTGTAGATATTTATTATCGATTCTAAACAGATTTGATCACTAGACCGGATATTTATGCATAATCGAATTTTTTAAGTGATTCGAGTAAACAGGTGTGCGACGGAAATTCACTTATCGTTTTAAGAACTTAAGAAAATAAATATAAAATGGTAATATTTTTATGTAGATTTATTTGATGTATTCTCTTTTCTACATTGCACTTAATCATGTTTACAAAAAGTGCATAAAATCCACACAATAGGTTCATCTAACAAAAAAATTATTCTTAATAAATATAAATATTAAGACGGAGTAACCTTCTTTTTGCAGTTGCATCTCGTGCAATATCATAGTTAGTATAAACTCTTTACAAGAATTCTTTATGAGAACATTGATTATTATAAATTATGGGACAGTACTATTTTATTTCAAGGGCCATTTAGATGGTTCCTGGAAAGTGGCTATTGTTCGTAAATAAAATACTATATGTATAATTAATTGATATGAGCGTAAACTTGTTGAAATTTATTTTATGAGGAATTAATATTTAACTTAAATATATATTTAAAAACAACATGTTTAATTCAACCTACTGTCTTCTTATTTATATCTTCCTTTTGAACATGTCATATATTATCATACTATGAAAAATTTAATAATGAATATCACATTTAGAATTTTATATCGAATGAAATGGCGACTGATTATCACCTCTCAAATATAAGTGGTTAATGCTTGCTTTGTTTGATGCATTATCGACCAGTCACTTGTTCACGTAACCGTCCATTATTTAAAAAGAACAGGAAACGGTAGCAAGTTAAATACAACAAATTTATCTGACCGTCAAAGTAATAAAAATTCTAAAAGTTAAGATACCAAAAGAATTATAGGATTCAGGATAATTTTTGTTCGTTTAAGGGGACACAAGAATATTTTAGTTTTCATAAGCCAGATTCTTATAGCACTGGGTGTAAGCTGATACAATTTCGTTGGTCATAAAATCATTGTTTAGCAACTCTAATATTTTATAATTTTAGGTAATAAAAAAGGTACGAATATACAGCTCATAGATTGCTTAACATTGTTTATAAAAATCTTTGCTCCCTACACACTACAAATGGATGAAAAAAAACTTAAAATCTTCCATTTCCAGTAGTCCTTCCAAATTGCATATCACTTTTTCAAATCCTTTATTACTTGTTCTTTCTTTTAAAAATACGTGAAATAAATATTTTTACAACGTACGAGAGCTTTCTCTCGTATATAGTTTGTTCTTGTATTGGTAAACTCTATTAAATACTACGAATACGATGCGGAAATTGAAGGATGAATGTACATAGTTTACACAACATTCCCTACGAGTGAGGTACAGCCAGATTTTCAGGTTTAAAATCTGACCCATGAACTGAAACTAGATTTAATATTAAGATTAAAAGTCTGTAACGTGCGTAATTGAAAATTTATATTGTATTCTTATGCGAGATTCTTTATTCATCATATTCATACTCATGCTGATAAGATTGTTTCAGAAATTACACTTAAAAAATGTTAAACTCGACAATTAATCACGTGAAGACTAACCGAAAGATTAATGATGCTTTTTAGGGAAATTAGAAGTAGATCCACGTTTAACAGCGCTGCATTATAACAAGTTATATTACATCGAATAAAGAATTAATAAACTTAGTTATGCACTAATACATGATTTAATTATAGAAATTCATTTTCTTTTCTTCATAAAAAAACAATAGTATTCAGCAACAAAAATATGGCGTATAGCAATAGAATTATTAAACTTTATTTTTTAATTTCGTTTAAATAAATTTATGCAAGATTATGAAAGTTTCAGTGTTTAGAGTGCACTCTGCAACAAATACAAATTGCCTATTAAATTAAAATAAATGAATGATTGTAAATTATCTCCGTTTGCAAGTGAAATAATGATCTATATTATGAAAGAGTTATCCAAGCAGTGAATCATCACCGATTTCAGAAAATTCTGCAATACAATTCAGCATTAAGATTTAGAATTAAAGGAAAAGGAGTTCGTCCTGCTGTTATAGAACAATGAAATTTTAATATTTGTTAGTAAATGAATTTGTGAATTAATAGTTGCACGTTAACTCGAACAATGGAAGATTGTTTAAAAATTGTTATATTAAATTCAGATGATATGTTGTTCACACATTGTAGAACGAATATGAAGAAAACAAATTGTTTAAAAAGAAAAATAAATAAATAATTAATTTTCTCTATCGATTTCATTACTCATGGATAGCGATATCGCACGGTCACGGCTCTCCCTCGATCACTCGCGTGACTTGTGATCGACACGTATCTCCAACGACGAATTTTCGTTGGATCCGTCCATGTTTCCACGTTGATTGTTACACCACGAATCGAACGTGATCTCTACGTTCCAACTTTCAATTTTCCAATCTGTTACTCTTGTTGGAGAATTTTCCGAAGAAATTTAAATTGCAATATAACTACATTCCAGATTTTTATGTAATTCCAAGATCTTAAGTGTTATATTATTTTATTCAGAAGAAATTTAGGTAAAATTTTATTTCCGGTGTTAGTGATATTAAAATATGTTTTATGGATTAAAAGGCACTAAACGCGTACATTTTTTGCTGTTCGATCATGAGTACACTTATATTTTGTTTTTAAAGAATTTACGAATATGTACAACACAAAATAATAAATAAATAATAAATAACTTGTGTTGAATGTTTAACATTATTCGATAGATATATTTCGCTCTATCTCTACTCATAATCCGCCATTACTTGTTACATTTCCTTGCTGTGCGGATATCCCGGGCTAATTATCTGCCACATGCAATGGGAAATTAGATGTTTGTAACCTATATGTACTTCAAGATGCCATTTGCATTAAAACGCAAATGTCAACCAAATATGTCTAAGCAAATGCATACTTTTAAAAATTTCATTTCATTTGAAATATCATGATCTTGCTCTATATACACTAGTGATTGGAAAAATAATTTTGAAATATTTAAAATAAAGATAATTCATAATTTCATGTCACCTTTGTTATTATAAATTATTTAGAATTTCCACACTTGTTTCAATTTCTTCTGAAACCTTTTTTTATATCTACTTGTTCCATTCAAAAGAAATCTGAATCTTTTATAAATTTAAGGAAGTCATACAAAGGAAATAATACAAATAATCAAAAAACCATTAAATAGAATATTTTAATTATTCTTAGTTGAGAATAATTAAACTTAATTTAGTTTAATTAAGTTTACTGTCTGTTTACTTACATTTTCCAGGAATTCTTTGAACGCTCCTCGTAACGTTAAAAAGTGTTTAAAATTATTAAAACAGTGAATCATTTTCCATCGTCATCAGACTTACCATGACGTCAAATGTCAAAAAACAGATTTCTACTGATTTCACAGTACTCTGTACTTCGCATTATTCTTCTACGGATCGAAGCTTTAAAGCGTCGATTACATCAAACAGTATTCAGAAATATTTGAGTAAAACGTCGAACAAGCTTCATAGAAATGTATGGAATGTTTTGTTGAAATAAGAAGAAAATGTTTTCCAATGTATAGATGCTACATTTCTTCACACTATTTGAAGCTACAGTAAAATCCGAGTCTAAAAAGTTGTCATTTATGCAAATACTTCTACGAATAAATGCAGCATAAAGAAAATAAAGGAAAAATGAAAAAATTCTTTTTCAAGTTCTATTTTGACATTTTACAGTCTTCATTTCCTTATCTACACAAAAGATGTTCAAAATGAACTCGTATATAATTTTCTTTTGGAAAATGATATGACAATAATGATGAAAATCCAAGTAAATATGTAACACTAGATATTGAATCTCATAAACATTATTTAAGAAATGTTTATGTCAATTTTTATCGATACAATTACAAGAGTACTTATATATCCTAATTGCCTATTTTTAAACCTCCAATCTCCAACATTTAACTGAACGAACATCAATTTTTCTAGAAACAGTAGAATAAATAGTACAATAAACATCCGTAAACCTAATGTTAAATGTGTTCTTTTATTAACACCATTATAAATTCTATATAAAGTATGTTTGAAGCACAAAAGTGAATAAATGTATGTTACGAACATATACCGAACAAAAATTTGTTTTCAAGTTATAGCTTCGAATGTGTTAGTATGTATCGCAACGATTATTTCTTCGTCTAGGCACATCACATGTATTATTGGATATTAACATGTGTTTTATCTGCAAGATTTGAAGGTCACGAGGTCAGATTAATTTGTAAACTAATATAAACAAGGGAAATGGAAGAAGTGACTCCGAAATGACTCAGACGATCATTAATGGGACGTATCTCAAAGAAGAAAATGAACGATAAAAAAAATTGTTTAATGTTTTCTTGAGTTTTGTATTTATCCCTATAATACTTCCCGCGCACTACGGGGCACCATGCAATCATATAAAGACATCTGCAACCTCTGTCGTAACGTCTGTTATAAATAGACTGCAGACCTCTATGCAAACTTTCCATGTTTGCGAACTAATTTACAAGGAACGGAAATTACACGCACGAGTAACTTCTCTATTACAAATTTTCCTGAATTAAAAAT